AAAAAAAAAAAAAAAAAAAAAAAAAAAAAAAAAAAAAAAAAAAAAAAAAAAAAAAAAAGATAATTTTCGTTAAAAGTTATAATTACTCTGCATTTCATAAACGGACTTTCAGCTCTTCCATGCGTTGCTTTATTCTGCGACGCATCTCCTTATATCTGCAAGATTATTAGAATCAGCATTTCTCTGTTTTATTGAAAAACATATTTTTCTTTTACCAAAGCAACTTACTTTTCTTTCAGCATGAGCATTTGACGCTCCTCCTCGTAATGATAACGCTGCAAAATGTTTTGACACTCGGCCAAAGATAAATTGAGAAATTGAGCGACGTCAGAACTGATTTCTGGAGTCGTGAATTTGTCAACCAAGAATAGCCGAGCAATGTTCTCGTGTGGACCGAGAACCACTCGTACTTCCAAGGGATACTCGTCATCCCTTAATTTACGCTGCTCTATTTGTTGCACGAAACGATATTTTAATATAGCAGTACTAAAATATCTTTTCTAATCTTTAATTACTAATAATGCTTAATCATGCGTGCATGAACATATGCAATAATAAATATTTTATTGTAATGGTGACTTATATTTAGTTTACTTCTTTTCATTTTGGGCAGATTAAGGTTACATGGGAGAATATTGATGGGTGATTTTTCGACCTTTAGTTATGATATATTATATTTGATGGTACTAAACAAGTGGATGGGCTAAATAAACTTTGGGTACTTAAATTCTAAGGTAAGGTCAAATAAATATTATTTAAAACGTTTTTGGTGGATGAATCCTTGATTATGGAAATGCTTGCTTCGTAGTAAAAAAAATGTAATAAAAATAAATGGTAATTTAATTGAGTTAAGGAACTCACCTCCATTATCTCGAACAACGAAGAGTGCAAAATTGTCGGACTTGGCATCAACTTTGTACTTGTCAAGCATGAGATTTATCACCTCTTGAGTACTTACGAGACTTGTCACCCAGACTGACATTTGCGAACCATGAGGTGGAGTAAAAAAACTAGTCTCGCGATTGTAAAAATGTCCATTGATCGAGCATCGTCTTCTAAGACGATTGCGGGATTGACGTCTTGCTCCTGGCCGTCGTTTGATTGCTGTTGAGCCTTGCTTTCGACGGAGAACTACACCATCCAACTGTATAAAAAATGTAAGAAATTTTTTTTTAACGTCGCAAAAGTAAAGATAGATTTAAATGGTAAACAACAAATATTTTATTTATAAATTACTTTATAAAAACCTAATGATAAAGGCCAAGAAACGAAAAAAATACTAATAAAATAAAAAAAGTTGAGCAGCTGAGCTCCTCGGTGTTGTGAGTATGCATACTCGTTCCTAGCAACTACTCGTACTTCTCATAACATTTCATTGATCTTTACTCTATTTACCCCTTGAAAAATAAATTAATAAATACATTCTGTCCAATCTGTATGTTGTCTCGTTATTTCAACCTTATTCTTAAACTAACCGTTAAATAGTGAGAAATTAAAATTTTTGTTGAAAATTGTTTTGATTTTACAGTGTAGCTCAATAAATTTTTTGGGAGGAAAAGTATAGATACGGAAAGATTTAAAAAGAAGTAGGGTGATAAAAATCAAGCTTTGAAAAACTTTGTTGTTACTTTATTGATTTTCACAGGTATACATTTTTCTTCATACAACTTTAAAATTTACACAATATTTCTCTTTAATTTTTTTCTCGCTAAAAATCGCATTTTTGTTTCAGTTATAAAATCTGAAACACGCCAACATAATTGGTTTTGTCATGGTAGGAAATTATCAAAACGTTCACTGCGTAAGTTTTTAAGACTGACAATTATTTACTTTTAATTGTAAATTTTTAATTCAATAATAATGACACTGGTTAGTTTAATTACACAATGGATAAATATTAGTGATAATGCTATTAAAAGCTACAGCGAGACTCGTCCAAGTTCTCTCAATTTCTTGATAAACCAGCAAAAGTTTCAACCACTGAACGCAGTAAATATAAATATAAATCTAGATGTATTTTATATGCTAAATGGAAATATAAAAAANACACGCCAACATAATTGGTTTTGTCATGGTAGGAAATTATCAAAACGTTCACTGCGTAAGTTTTTAAGACTGACAATTATTTACTTTTAATTGTAAATTTTTAATTCAATAATAATGACACTGGTTAGTTTAATTACACAATGGATAAATTTTAAAAAAACGTTGCACATTTCTTAAGATGAGTGATATTTTTTACATTTGTCTGCACCAGCCCTTAGCCTCTGCAACGCAGCTTTTATAGTTGCGCCTGTAGGTATGACTTTTTATTTTGTTGATATCCTCGGAATGAATATTAAAATATATTTTTTATGATGATTTTGATAACAGTTTTCAATAATGATGATAAAACATTGAACTAGTTTGTTAAATGTCAACATTAGAGTGTCTGATAACTAACAATCTCACGATTAAAACTAAATTTTCAATAGTTGTGAGAATTTATTTTATTTAGTAGCACCAATAAAATGGAAGTTAATGTAGGTTTGAAAAACTTGTCAAGTAAAATATGGAAAATAAGTATCGATTAAAAAATTCGTCTTAAAAATTAAACATCTTGTGAATTTCTTATATTTCAGAAAAAAATGGTGGTATATCAATGTGAATCAGATCGAAAATAAGGATTAATAATTTTTGTCAGTCTTAGCTTAAATTATCAAGTCTTACGTGCGCAGAATGCGGCAGTAGTCTGTTACCACTAAAAGCATTAAATACAGATTACTATCAAAAATTGACTACATAAAAATAAAATCTTTACAACTCCATGAAAACTTGTGTATACTTCAAATTAAGTGGAGTCACGCAGAATGATATAAATACATGATTTGAGACACTAAATCAGTTTAAGAAAAGTAATTGTTAATTATTATACGTCGAACATTTTACGTACAGTTAATTAAAAAAAAAAAAAAAAAAAAAAAAGATAATTTTCGTTAAAAGTTATAATTACTCTGCATTTCATAAACGGACTTTCAGCTCTTCCATGCGTTGCTTTATTCTGCGACGCATCTCCTTATATCTGCAAGATTATTAGAATCAGCATTTCTCTGTTTTATTGAAAAACATATTTTTCTTTTACCAAAGCAACTTACTTTTCTTTCAGCATGAGCATTTGACGCTCCTCCTCGTAATGATAACGCTGCAAAATGTTTTGACACTCGGCCAAAGATAAATTGAGAAATTGAGCGACGTCAGAACTGATTTCTGGAGTCGTGAATTTGTCAACCAAGAATAGCCGAGCAATGTTCTCGTGTGGACCGAGAACCACTCGTACTTCCAAGGGATACTCGTCATCCCTTAATTTACGCTGCTCTATTTGTTGCACGAAACGATATTTTAATATAGCAGTACTAAAATATCTTTTCTAATCTTTAATTACTAATAATGCTTAATCATGCGTGCATGAACATATGCAATAATAAATATTTTATTGTAATGGTGACTTATATTTAGTTTACTTCTTTTCATTTTGGGCAGATTAAGGTTACATGGGAGAATATTGATGGGTGATTTTTCGACCTTTAGTTATGATATATTATATTTGATGGTACTAAACAAGTGGATGGGCTAAATAAACTTTGGGTACTTAAATTCTAAGGTAAGGTCAAATAAATATTATTTAAAACGTTTTTGGTGGATGAATCCTTGATTATGGAAATGCTTGCTTCGTAGTAAAAAAAATGTAATAAAAATAAATGGTAATTTAATTGAGTTAAGGAACTCACCTCCATTATCTCGAACAACGAAGAGTGCAAAATTGTCGGACTTGGCATCAACTTTGTACTTGTCAAGCATGAGATTTATCACCTCTTGAGTACTTACGAGACTTGTCACCCAGACTGACATTTGCGAACCATGAGGTGGAGTAAAAAAACTAGTCTCGCGATTGTAAAAATGTCCATTGATCGAGCATCGTCTTCTAAGACGATTGCGGGATTGACGTCTTGCTCCTGGCCGTCGTTTGATTGCTGTTGAGCCTTGCTTTCGACGGAGAACTACACCATCCAACTGTATAAAAAATGTAAGAAATTTTTTTTTAACGTCGCAAAAGTAAAGATAGATTTAAATGGTAAACAACAAATATTTTATTTATAAATTACTTTGTAAATTTAGATTATTGTGTAACCATTAAAAAAAGCTAGATTATTATAATTACCTCTAAGCCACTGTCAGTTGACATTGTCATGTCATCATCACGGAAATGCAATGAATTTACAGAATCTGTGTCACTATCAGTTCTATGCCTCTGCAGACAATCAGGCCCGGACATAGAACGATTCAAGCCTTTCTCAACCCAACTATCTTCATCACTAATTGACTGACTACTTGCTGTAGTACTTTTATCTAAACTGTCAAAATACTCTACTCTGCGTAAAGCACCATTTTTGTTTGAATCATCTTTATAAGTCGGCGTGTCGGTAGTCGAAGAGCTGCTTATACTATGAGTTGGTGTACTACTGACGCTGCTATCTTTAATTATACTGTTGCTGGTATCTGTATCAGGGCTGTTTGGTTCAGAAGTGGCCGTAGTTGAATGATTAGTTGACGTCGTCGCGGTATCGGTTATGGAATGTAAACTGTCTGATAGAAAATTTTTAGGCAAAGTTTGATACTGTTTCTCGCTGTCCTCAACTTTTCGTCCCATTTCATCCTCTTCATCCCACTCTATATTTTTTACGTCAAGTTTCATTGGCAGTGTAAGGCTTTTTATGTGATCAGGTGACGGTGGGACTGAATTAATTTCATTATCTAATTGACAATCAGGAAGACTTTTACATTCCTCATCCTTTAATTCTTCATATTCTACTTTATCAATATAGCTTCTTCTGCAAGAGTTTCTATGTCTAGCTGTGACAACAGTTCTCTGGTCATCATCTTCCTTCAAATGTATAATTCCACGCACGCCCCAATGTATTCTTAAAGCTCCTTCCAAAATTAGTCTGCCATTGACCTAATAAAAAGAAGAGCATACAAAATTTTTTGAATCGCTCGTTGACTGATATCTTTCCAAATTTTAAACAAACCTCTCTACTTCTGATACCACCACTTTTGCCTTCGTAATACTGGTTAAAAACCTTCAGTTTCGATTCTAAGTGGGATCTACACGAAAAGTTATCATTTAATGTTTTTAAAAGTTTATATACAAAATAAACAAGGTAAAAACATGACAATAACTGACCTTGGCAATGAAGAACGAGATTCCTTTTTACCAAAACTGGTATGAGATTCAACTCTTGTACCATGTCCAAAAAGCTGAGGACCAAAAAGTGCCCCATAACATGGCACATGACAGTATGGAACCCCCTTGTGCTAGATAAGGCATAAAACAACATATTATATGAGTACCAAAATAGTTACTCAAGTATTACAAAATAGCATCACCAATCAAGTTTCTAATACAAAAAGCTAACCTCTGCATGCTGCCCAGGATTCAGACGTTTACCACACTCTTCACATCTCAGACATTCTGGATGCCAGTCATAGCCCAGCGATTGTTTTCGCTCCGCTGATAGAGAAACATCAAAAGTACCAACTAAATTTCATTTCTAATAACACGAATACTTGTTTCAAGCTTTTAGAAAACCTCTTCTCAAATAAGGTGTCCCAATAAAAATCAAACATCACCATATCATAGTCAAACCATGAATACTACAAGTTCAGGCTACAAAACCCGTTTGTTATACATACATTATAAATGTGCAATTGGTCAACTCGCTGCATATATTGCATATAATAAATGAAAAAAAAAAAAAAAATTAATGTATACTAATTGAATTGACGTACCAAAATAAACGGGCTTGCCGCATTTGTGACACTTCCACATGACAGGGTCCTTTGAGTTGCTCAACCGAGAAAGCGTCTTTTTCAATGAAATATTTTAAATATTAAGCTCTTTGCAAGCGACTAACACATCGCTATATTGCGGTAAAAAATTCAAGAGCAAAGTAAAAATATAGTAGATTACGTTGGTAAGCAAAGAGTTCAAGATGCGCCATCACATTAAACGACAACCGACATAGAGACTTCTTTCTCTCTACTTATATTTTTCTTCTGCTTCGCATCATTCGCAATTTCGCATGACAATTGCGTGATATATAAGTATAGCTATTATTATGGCTACAGATAATATAGTTGACTTACTGACCTGACGGTAACGTAGAGCGAAAATTTGAATTACTTTTGCTGGTGACGATTGCGGAAAACACCCCAAGCGGCGTTACCACCACGACCTACGTAACTTTACAACCTCAGATTTTATCATTCTGGTAAAGAGAGCACGGTGTAAGATGTACGTGAAGTTATGTGTAGTAATTACTTTAATTACGCAATCGTCACCAGCAAAAGTAATTCAAATTTTCGCTCTACGTTACCGTCAGGTCAATAAGTCAACTATACCCCACGACAAACTGATGATAAAACAGCTGATATCATAAGTTGCTATCATAGTATTCTACCTTACCAACAACCAAACAGTAGTTGTAAAAACTGACACTGTGTGGCGCTTGTGTAGATTCGGATCAGTGCACAGATACACATATATTTCGCAAAACGCAGTTTCCGATTTACGCTGCACTTATTTTTTTCTTTACAGCAATAATAACACGGCGCAAATACTTATATATATATATGAACCACTGCTTGTATACATTATACATTAACAGTTATAGTACTCAAGTCGATATTTAGCGTACTCTGCCAGGTACAGATTTTTCCCGCAAAAACCACGCATCTTGGAGCTCCATAATCGCTTCAAGAGAGCAAACCTGCTCCAAAAGTTTAGTATTGGAGCAACACCCCCCCTTGTGTTTACTCGCGTTTATCATACATCTGTGGAAGTTCATTGTCCGTAACGGTGTTGTTCCTTGTGTATTACACACTGGTGGGTACATCGATGATAAATAATAAGCCAAGTGAAGAATAAAGCCCGTATTAGTTGGGCAAGTGATTTTTTTATTACGTTTATCTGGCCCAGGAGTTCTTGTGTGTTTCTCGAGTCGAAGGCTCTGCATTTATTATGAGCGAAGCGAAAACGAGCGTTGATAATTGCAGTGATACGACTACGACGACGACGACGACGACGACGACAATGGGTGACTCCGACGTCGCTGACGCATTTGGCTGCAGCAGGTATATACTTTACTACTTTTACCTAGCACTTTTGTACCTTAGTGTGAATAAGTATTTTTTGTTCTCTTTTTTTCATTGAGACTCATGAAGTCTTTGTGCAGACTTGTTTTTTTTTTTTTTTTTGTTTTTGCAATGAGATGAAAACGAATTTTTGTTTCTTTTCTGTGCGTATTTTTTTTTTTATCCGATAGATGCAAAAAAAGAGTGAATCGAGCATTTCGTACACTATGATGCAACACATTCACCACTATTCGACCAAAAAACAGCTTTCTATCCAACAAGAATCTACCTCTTTTTAAGAAAAATATAATGAATAAATAAAAGAAAAGAAAGAACTTGTCCCTGGTACTAACAAACATGACATTCATGTCTATTTACAGAAGCAGCGCTGCTCTGGTTAACCAAATCCGATCAGCCCCGACCGAGCGCTACGCCACTCACTACAACATGAATCATGGAAAGCGGGGCCTGGCCATCATATTCAACCACGAGTTTTTCAACGTCAGCCACCTGAAGCCGCGTTGTGGCACAAACATCGACTGCGAGAATCTAACGAATACCCTTAAGTCGCTCGGCTTCGATGTCAACGATTTTCACAACTACACCCACAAGGACATACATAAATATCTCGAAAAAGGTAGTTTTTTTGTTACGATTGCTAATATATAGTTTAATTAAAAAACTATGAAATAAACTCTAATGGAGCATGTTACTTTATTGATCGTTATTATTTTTCAGTATCCGAGATGGATCACTCCCAACATGACTGCCTCATAGTAGCGGTGCTCAGTCATGGTGAGCTGGGCTTGCTGTATGCCCATGACAGCCCCTACAAGGCTGACTCGATCTGGTCATACTTTACGTCCGACAGATGCCCCACGCTCGCCGGCAAGCCTAAACTTTTCTTCATCCAGGCCTGCCAGGGCGACAGGCTTGACGGCGGTATCACGCTCAAAGAGCGCACGGAGACCGACGGCCTGTCGCCCACGGTGACCTTCCGCATTCCTACCCACGCAGATTTTCTAATAGCTTACTCCACGGTGCCGGGCTTTTACTCCTGGAGGAACACGACCCGGGGCTCCTGGTTCATGCAAGCGCTTTGCCTTGAGCTCAAAGAGAACGGTACCCGATACGACATTCTGACTCTTCTCACGTTCGTCTGTCAGCGAGTAGCTATCGATTTCGAGTCCAACACCCCGGACAATGTCACTATGCATCAACAGAAACAGATACCCTGTATCACCTCGATGCTCACTCGTATCTTAAAATTCTCGCCCGTAAAGAACGGCACCTTCTAAGCCGATCAATTTTTTTTTTTTTTTTTTTTATTCCAACAGAAATAATCTGAGCGAGGAGATGAACAAGAAAAGTCAATGCAGCCGCTGTCGCTGTCTTGGTGAATGTATTGTCGACCACACGGTTTCATGACTTTCGATCTTACTCTCATTCCAATATTGTGACAAGGTTGCATAAATGTTTTATGGATATCTCTGTGATATTTTATAAACTTTTTTTTGAATCCGCACAAAATTATTAATCTTGACACTGTTATCTAGAAACAATGTAAAATATTTAAGCAATCTTGTCAAAATATTTTTAAGATTTATTTGCATAGACAATTTTTTTTAGCAGTAAGAGAAAACAATCTCATGAAAAGTAATTTAAGAACACTTTTAGTTTTTTGAAGTAGTACACTCAATGATTATGATTTATACAACGTTGAACAAAATTTGAACAAAAAAAGAAACTTTTGACAGAGTCGATTTACCAAGATCGATTCGAATTTTAGAAATAAAAAAAGTGTCATGTAACCAGTGCTATGTTTCATCAAAAACATACGAAGAAATGCCTTTCTACTTTTCTAATACTTATGATGTTTGTGGGAACAAGCAGAAGTTTAAGCCAGAATGTATCGAAAACCCGCGATATTATTGCGCGATAGATAATCAGTATGCATTTATTTGATAAGCATTTATCTTAAGGGAAAGTGCATTTACGTATATATGTACAATTTCAAAATGAATTTCATATTGTCATTTTGTACTTCGTCCTTTTGACGAAACAATATTTTTGAAACTTTTAAAAATGATCTCAATTCACGCAGCGTTCTTTTTTGTCATTTCGTACTTTTTGCATTACCTGTGATGCAATATGTATATACAAATGGGTCATCTATAATTTCCCAAATTGAATTTCCATCTTTTACCTTTAAATTGCGTGTTTGTAGTTTGAAACTAAAATTCTTACCTCAAAATTCACACCAAGCTACGCCCCCCATGCAAACCCTACTTTAATTTTATACAAATTTTGATTGTGTACTTCCTCCAACACTTTAAAGACTACATTACTTGGCACGACTAGAGAAATATTAGGAATTTTATTAAGCAAAAATAAAAAAATAAATGTTTTTCCTTATTTTGTTTATATTTCTAAATATAATTTTTTGTCGCTCGAAAAAGAAAGTTTAACTTGCAACGGAGTAGGTATAATCACATATTTTTTCAACTTCCGGAATTTTTGATGTAAATATCTTAGTTTTAAACTACAAAGAAATAATTTAGGGGAGCTAATGGGTACCTTGATTTATACATATTGCATACTCGTGAGTCTACAAAGTTGCGAACTTTCGTTGCAATTTCGAGTGTTAGAGCCATTTCAAGTGTTCAGAAAAAAAGATTGTGTACGCAAACGCTGTGTATTGATTCATGTGTAAAGTAATAATGGCTAGTCGATTCGTAATAATTGAGGTAATTTTTCATATAGAATGTATTTCCAATTGTGATACGTGATCTTTTAAAAAAAAAAAAAAAATTTCCGTCGAAAAGTCGACTTTTGACATATTATATAACATTGCTATTGTGCCTAAAAGTAATTTGTTTAATGGATGTCAAAATAATTGTAGCAGCATATATAACTCAAAAATTGTCTTTCACTTTTGACAAGATGGGTATTCAATGAGCTGTATACATATATTTTTTTGAATACGTATCTATGTACTCGTGTCTTGGAAAAATACTGTTTGTACAATGATTTGGAAAATAAAATAAGGAAGAAAAAAAAATTCGTGCTTTGGTTTGTCGACCGTCTACCTCGTCGCCTACAGCAACTGAGACGTCCTGCATGCGGTTGAAAAATCTTCCAGAGAATCCAAAATTTTCTACTCAGAATAACGGCTGAACAAAACAAAGAAGTTGTGACGATGGTAAAAGTACCTCCAGTATACCAGCACCTGCCCCCCTCACGGATACGCACACATGCAGACAAGCCTTTTCAATGTATAACCATTTTGAATCTTACAAAAGAGAGAAATCCTCCCACCTCATTTTGAGCTTGTCTCGAAAATGCGAGCTACTCTCGTTCAGGCAAAAATGAACGAGGCCCTTTATTTCGTTTCCTCTGGAGTCCTTTCTGTCGGTCATTGGTTCCAATAAGCTTATGGGTATCTACCTAAAACAAGTTTTTATGATTTTTTCAAATTTTTCTCTTTTTTTCACGCAATCACAATAATGCCCAAGAATTATTAATGTTCCATAACTCTATGTTCTTTCATAATTTTATTTAGATACTATATTAATGTTAACGATCAATTTTTCTTTCAGAAGAATTTATTCGAATGATGGAAACCAAAGAAAGATTCTTCACAGACAATGTCAATGCTCTGTAATAAGCTTCTGTTCTCAAAAAACAACCGAAACGCCGAAGCCAAATATTTTATTTCAAAGACACAGTTTTGGGATTGAAAATGGAGCATCCCTTTTTGAGCAAAACTAAATGTATACATCGAGAATTTCTCCCTCATTTATTTTTCTTTCTGTTGAAGCGCTCGAGACTCATTCTTTTGCTTGTTCTTTGAAACTCTATACAAGAATACTTAAACAAAATTCTTCGAAATTCGAAAAAAGAATTCCAAATTCGGGATTCATGGCTTTAAGTAAGAATTTGGTCTATGAAATTAAAAAAAAAGTCCTTGCAAACTGCAGCTGTTACAGAAAAGATGTGGCGAAGAGGATAAATGCCTATATGTACATCCATGTCCCAGGAGGGAAGGAATAGAAACAAAACACTACACCCGAGAAGAGAAGCAGCGTGCTTGTCTCTCCTCCTCACTCCTGGAGCTGCTATCGGCGCGTTAGCTCCCTTTCATCGGTTCTTTGCACTCTCTCTTTCTCTAGTTCTCTATTTTTTTTTTTTTTTTTTTTTTTTTTTTTTTTTTTTTTTTTTTTTTTTTATACCAAGAAGGCCGTCATCGCGTATAGGCACCCTATGTACAGCTGCTAATGCCGAGGACGATGGCCCCGCGCAGGCATGCTATGCCAAGTATATAGGTAGACACATAGCAACCCCAGGATTACATCCTCACTCTCCTCCTCGCCCTTAATTTTATCTTTCCTCTCTCGTCTCTCTGCTTTCTCTTTCTGTGTAGCTATGTACTGTCCACAAGTACATGTGTGAAAAAAGTGAAAATTCCCATAGAGGAACGAGAAGCTACATTTTCAAATGAAATTTCGTCAATGCTTGGCATGTTTCTTTGGGTACTTTTTTCGTACTCTATGTGCCTTGGTTAAAATTTTTTTTTTTTCAAATAATAGATAGTACCAAATATGGTTAAATAAATAATGTTGCATGACGGAACAAAGTTAATTTTCATCGCGATCGATTAATTCTATTTGTATTTGTATGACGGTATACTTCGGTTTGGTACGAGAATAGTCGGCTAAATGTAATTGTCGCCACTACACGTGCTTCTAATTATTTTTAATTTAATTCAATTTCAAATTAAATGAAAATAAAAAATGAGAAAATCTTGTTGAAGACATACTTGTCATTGATATAGATACTCAATAGATTTTTTTTAGGCAGTCACTAGAGTGACTTTTTTTATACTTACAGTGCATTTACCTCTTCGACGTGTGTACTTACACTGCGTACTCTAAAATGAACTGTAAAGTACTCAAAAGCAGTAAAAAAAGTGTAAGTACCTCATGGGCTCTAAAATAGAAACAAAAGGAGTTCCCCAATAGCAATAAGTCGTATACCATTTATACCAAGGATTAAGTTCACAAAAATTTGTGTTGTGCAATAGATGTATACTTTTTACACGGGGAGTACAGCTTCGCAACACAGCACACAAATTTTGATAAGTAATTCGGACCCTATAATATGCATAAAGCTTCAGATCTCACTTCCCGTCTCCATCTCCAATCTCCTGATGGAGGTGAAAAATTTAAAGACCCCAGACCCAGACCCCAGGGCCCAGACTCTGTGAAGTTGAGCTGTAAGAGCGCTACTTACCGGATGGAGCTGGCGGCGTAAAGTTCGATTTGAGAGGAGAGAGCCAAAAGGCTTCGAGGCTCGAGGCTCAAATCGAAAGTCGAAAGTGAAGGGGGAGGGAGCGAGCGAGCAGTGGGGGATTCAGGGTTTCAGGGGACATTTAGTTTCGTTTGTTGTAAGTCACAGAGCTTTTGTGTAGGTCGTAGTCGAGACGACGACGTCAAGTTGACTTAGGGTAAGCTTCTTTCGGGTACTGTGAACACTTAGCCAGGGTCACCCCCATCCTCTGGTCGGTACTCCCGTGAGTGTGCGTGTGTGCTTTTTCCAGTTCTGTATAATATACACTATATAGTCACTCTCGCCGTGGCCGCGTCGTCGTCTTCGTCAGTGTCTTTTTGCGTGTAACAAAACAAGTATCTTAGTACTTACATTACTTATACCATTGTACAACAAAACAACCAAGAGTGTGTGTGCACGAATACAGAATTACGGGCCTATACGAACTGCAAGCATCAAGTTATTGTGTTGTGTTGCTGCTTATATATTTAGGTATCCTCGAATCAGCCGTCTGGGTCTGCACTCTGCAGCTGCACAAGAGAAAGAACAGCCGTCGCGTGTGTACCTACATAATTGTGTAGTGCTAGTGAAAAGAGGAAGAGAAGAAACATTTCCTATTCTTTTAAATATTGTTTTCATCACATATTTCTGCATAAAAAACGCGTGTACAGACATGAAAGTGATGGTGATATAAAAGTGCTCGCTCATGAAAAGAGGAGAAAGAGAGGTCGCCCCGGGAATGTTGTGTGTCTACGTGTGCGTCCAAGGCTGCTGCTTCGCCTACCCCACACACGGTATTGAGTTGATATATACGTAAGCTCACAGATATACAGGCTGCTGCTGCTCCGATATACATATATGTATATATCTGCAACGATAATATAAAAAAAAAAAAAAAAAAAGTTCAACGCCTTTTTTACTTATTGTGCGTTTATTCGTGTGAAAGAAAGGTTACTGACGTTTTTTACATCTACGATCAAAGTCGACGTTGTTGCAGAAAGACCTTCTACGTGTACCTATGTGATATCCATGCACATAGGTAAATATATATAAACATAGTCAAATAGCTATAGAGCTACGGAGAAAAGGCGAGGACGGAGCAGCGGTGCATACTTCCGAGCTTGCCTGGCAGCTTGTCTGCTGGATCGTTGGATCAGTTGGATGGTTGGTTGCGTGCATATGTGTTGGTTGTGGGTACAACCTATAATACTTATGTATGTATACCTATATAAGTGAAGAGATTCAGAGGGCGATGCCTTCTCGCAGAAGAACAGCAGCAATAGTAATCGTAGACGAGGAGGAAGGAGGAAGAAGTACTGTCGCGGGGGGAGCAACAGCAGAATACAAGTAGTAAATTTTCGTTCCTCTCTCTTCTTTCAACCACCTCGTTTCCATCCCCCCCCCCCCGTGTATACATTCTCTCCAGTTATACCAAACATTTAAACACCCCTTAAACCTAGAGTATATAAAAAAAAAAGAGTGAGCAAGTGCTTGCATCGACATTACAAACTCACACCATCAAGAGGATTGCTCTTTTTGTAACTTTTTTCCCTCTATTTTGATTTTCGTCGTTACAAAAGAAAAAACAACTCACATAGGCAGCAGCGGGCGAGCTTTCGTTTTTTCAATTTTTTTTTATTTCACTCTCCAGCGAGTGCCTTCATGTTCAACCTTTAGTGCAGTGCAGTGTTTGTAACATACCTACACGTTAGAAAAACATTTTTGTGTGCATATCAAAAATGTTTAATTAATATAAACTAAGAAGAAGAAGAGAGGACCACCAAGCTTGGAATTCGAGTCAAACGCATATCACCAGGTAATTCCGCGCAAGGAATCCGGCTAGTCGGTGGATTACAAAAAACGGAGCGCTTCGTGAGCAGACGCTCACCTTGCCCGCATGCACAGTTAATATAAACAAAACAAAAACGGAGCGGCGCGCATCTCTGGTGCGAGTTGACGGCAATTAAAGGTCCGACCGACCGTACCTTGGCCCCTGTGCTCTTATCTCTCTCCTCTCCTCTCTCAATTTACTCAACCCTGCAACTCGCTCCAACATCAGACATAGAGTATACATGTATTGTATTGTGTCATACCTTTAAGTACCAACATATATCGGAGCGTTGTGAATAAGAGGGGACGGCGCATGATATTATTATTATGCCTGCGTGTGCGTCCAGTGCGAAATTAAATAAATACCCAGCGGGAATCCAAGAGGTGTAGACGGAGAGAAGGAAGGAAGGAAGGAAGGATTGTGTTGCGTGTGTACATGTACTCTTCTCTCTTGTCGACGACAACGGCCACGACCCACGACACGAAAGAGAGAAAGCGACATGACGATTTCACACGGGGGGCATATCGATTCGCCGTCGTGGTGGACGGGAGCAGCCAGCAGCAATATCAGTAGCAGCAACAGCAGCACCACGTTATAGCATACCTAACTACCCCTATAGCATCCCCTGCTCTTTAAACTACCCTCTGTGTCTGCGTGCGCGTATACGATACATTATCGGATTATCGCCGATACGAGTGTGTGTGTGTGTGTGTGTGTGTATATATGTATACAAACGTAAGCAAGCCCATGACAGAACGATAGTATACATTTTGGAGCATAGTGCAGAAGAACTATATACTAGTATGTATACTCCCGTAGAAGAGGCCCAGCACCTGCTCCTCCTCCTCTTCCTGTCTACTTTTGTATCTCAGGGGTGGATGCTGCGACGCTAGAGAGCTAGACAACTAAGAGGTAGCCGCGTGTCGCGCACGTGTGTGAAAATCGGTGAAAAGCGCGAGGGATAGAAAGTGAGTGCGAACGGGATAAAGTGAGTACCCGCAACCGTTCCTGCGGCCTGTATAACTCTCCGGTTAGGTATATACTTACCGTGTTGATTGTATGTACTTACATACATACAAGACGTATGCGTGTTAAAAAAAGAGAAAAAGCTTGCGGAAGAAAGAAGGGACGAGAAACGGCAGCAAAAGCAGAGTATATAGTACAGAAGAGAAGAGCAGTAGCAGCAGCAGCGCAGTCATGAACGTCGATATTTTTGGGCGAGTAGCATCAGCGTCGGCGGCCAGCATCAGCGAGCCAGCAGCACCACCATCATCGCCGCCGCCGACCTTTCTCAGAGAGGAGCTATCTCCAATTGTAGCCGCCTCCAGCAGGCCCACGACCACCCGTGAACGTCGGAGCGAAGGGGAGAGCTTTTGAGAGGCTGTGGCTGTGATACAATATTCTACTACTACTACACCACTACTACTAGTAGTGGCCAACTATACTACTACTACTACTACTACTACTTAACCACTAATATTGCCTGTCCATAACTTCATGCGGTTTATTTTCCTCGAAAGAGTCGAACGTTTCCGAGATTGGCTCTTCTCGAAGCCCAGAAGACTGAGCGTTAAGAAATCGACTGGCATAAGCTCCGGATTGTTGAGCTTGCCCGTATGCAAATGTAGTTTTTGGAGACCAAATAAACCTTCAGTGGAAATAAAAGGGTTCGTAATTTTCTTTTTTTTTTTTTCCACCTTAATTAGTATTACGTATATATTGCACGCTCAAATTTTGTACCATGCATTAAACTGTAGACGTGTAACTGGTAAATTAAAATAACATTGCACCAGCTATTCGCACTCAAAACTCCCCAAACTAACGAGGAAAACGTTCCAACGTTCAATAATGATCGGTGAACATTTTTACGTGAGACCGACACAGAGATGATGTAGTCCTTATTGTAGTTTGCGTAAACTCGGTACTTTAATTATATTTAATATTTCGTAAAAATGGCGATACTAATAAGAACTTATATAAAATTTTAACCGAGCACTTTAAAACTTTCAAATAATAAGTAATCATTTTCAGGAGCGGTTGTAGATCAGTTGGTTAAGAGACGGTCTGAGCCCTGAGATACGACTGCTCCGAGCTCCGAAAAGATGAGGTTCTATATACAGATGGGGTTAGGATCAGCATCCCCTCCACACGCAGGTGGTAGGGGGGTGCCCGTAATAATCACGCGAAATGGTGCAAGTATATATATATACGGGTGGGGAAAAAAAGTCAATTACCGGAAGTCAAGCCAGCACTAATTAAAAATAAATAAACACAAATCACCTCTCGTCGGCTGTATCGGACAAAGTATCTAAAAACCGCTTTTTCTCTCGTTTCAGGCAATCCCCTAAATTTGTATTGAGTAAAAAATAGACAGAAACACATGCAATGGATCTCAGCACAGCCATGAACGCGAGTGCCGGCGCACCAGCTCCCAGTAGCGGTGGCACTGGTAATGCTATTGGTACCAATAACAATATGAACGGGGCGGTTGCTTGTCCAGTCTGCACGCTCTACCTACGCGAGGGAATCAGCCTGCAGAACCACTTGGACACGCATCCCAAAGAGCAGGTGATCGAGGCGCTGATCAGGGCAAGCAGCAGTGGTGCCGGGCCCACCACTGTTCTCGCCAGCCAGATGTGTACACCGCCCCAGGCGCTCACCCCCCAACCTGTGCCTACGCCGCAGCCCATGCCACCGGTCACGGGCACTCAATCGACCTCGGGCTCGCCGAGTCCCCATGTTCCTCACCCGACACAGCCGCCGTATCCCATGGGACCCATTTACGAGTGCCCGCCCCAGATCAACGCTATGATACCGCCGCCTCAGTTTGCCTCCTTCAGCTACCAGCAGTTTGTAAATAATGGTAAATTGTTTATTTGTGTAGACCTTTTTGCTTTCTATCGTTTAAAGTGATCGAAACGGAACCGAGGATTTGCGTATGGATATTATATTCGAGACAAAGAGTGATCATAACTATTGGCTTAATAACAACAATAATAGTAATGATAATAATTGTAAACAGGTACGATGATGGTCCCAGCTCAATATGCGATGGCCCAGGCGCAAGCCGCTCCTACGAGCCAAATGATGCAGATGCTGTACAGCCCATATGGCATGTATCATCAGCAGCAAATCCCCACAGTGCAGATGATCTCAGCGCCTCCACCTCCGGCTGCCATGATGTCCACCACTGCAACCACACTTACGCAGCCACCACCTCCAGTGCCAGCGGTAGCCGCGCGCGTGAGATCTCCTATTGTTCCTACAACAAACAACGTCGTGGCGGCAAATGTCAATGAGACAGTGTCCGTGGCTATGACGACCGCAACGACGACGTCACCTCTGCCACAGCTTCCAAGGTTGACGATTTGCACGCCTGAGCCAAGGTCACAGGAAGAAACGCGAATCCCAGTTGTGCCGATGGAGCATAATCAGGCAGAGCCAATGGTGATCGAGGAAGGGGTCAAGGAACAGTGTGTCGAGCGGACGGTCGTCAACAACGATTCATCAAGGCCCGAGCGTATCGCGCTTACCAAAGTGGAAGTACCTGGGATTGAGCAAATTCAGCGGGAGGAGGACCGGAGAAGTGACACACACGTTGAGCATACAGAACAACAGACTCTACACAGTACTGATCGGGTAGAACAGAGTTACGACACTGACCAGTATCAAAGGTGATTAGCTCTAATTGTCATTATGATTATTAGTTTGGATTTGCATTTTTTAAAAATTTATTTAACTAATCTCACTTGTTTTACGTCAATTACAGAGAGGGAACACCCACGTCAATTAGTGATCTCAGCAAAGATGTTACCGATTATGATAAGACTGAAAGGATACTGGCAGATACTGAAATGAAAGATAAAGTGGAGTCTTTTATAGTGCAAGAAAGCTGTGAAGCAGAAAATCACAAGGATAGCGTAACAATGGAAGAAAATGAGTCTGTGGAATCCGCAGAAAATTTAGTTAGTGAAATAGTTAAAAATAAAGAATTTATAGAAAATAATAAGTGTGACGAAATAAATATTAAGGAGTTCGCGAGCAAAACTGATGATGTGCTCCAAAGTGCTGACGAAATCATGGAACCGCAAAATTTAAGCGCAGATGAGTCACGAATGTCCATCATCAATAAGCCCGAATTAGATCAAGTAAATCGATTTTTAGGTAGTGTAGAATCCGAATTAAGCAATATTGATTTATCTAGCAAAGAAAGTAAAAACGCCAAAAAATCTGTGGTAGAAGAACAAGATGTTACATTCTCAGATCTTCTGGAAAAGCCAACCGATGAAGACGAGACGACAAACACTTCGTACCACAAACATATTGGTGAATCTATAGAGTGCAAGATTATTGTTGCCCACGAAGAATCAGATGTATCATCGGTGGCCTCTTCTTCCATACACTGCGACATGGAGATAAAAAAAAATACTTCGTCGGCCTATCATTATAAATACTCGCGTTCAGCACCTACGTCGCCTGTGAGTAAAAAAAAGTTTTACCGCTCGTTATCGCGTGCATCGTTGCGCTCCGACTTTGACCGATCGAACGAAAATATCTGCCCATATCCTGTGGGTTTTGAGGCAACCACGCTCCAAGATTTCCTCAAGGACAACTATAATGACGAGGATATGGAATTTGAGGAAAACGAGCCACAGCCCCATCACTCCTATCGGAAGCAGAGTAGCGACATCATAGAACGAGCTAGTTCGCACACAACATTATCCACGAGAATAAGTGGTGTATGTACATTGAAATCGTCACTCAGTGATGATCGAGCTGGGTCACCCGTATCAGTACATTCAACTTCTTCGTACTGCCAGATGGAGGATGATGACGAAGACGAGGATGACTCGGATGCGGATAGTTGTCAGTCAAACGACAAAGACGACGATGACGATGAGGATGAAGAAGATGACGAGGAACATTTGTTGTTGGAAGAAGCATCTCGACGAATGATGCACAGCGAGATAAAGCGAGAATCGGAAATCATGAGGAGTGAGGTCTGCAAAGCTTTGATGCCCAACGATTCGGCTCATCAGCAGCAGTTGCAACAACCTGCGGATTTCAGATCTCAAAACCTCATGGCTGAACATTATTCGTCCAGTCAGTTTCCAATCAATCACCATTCAACCTCTCATCAGCACCAACATCAATCCACTGCAGTTGTACGTAACGAAACTTATCCCCTATCAAACAGTGGCACGTCACAAAATTTGTTGAATTTGTCGGAATGTGTGGACCCGACAACGAGCACAGACTCGAAAAGCTTCAACTCCAGCTCGACAAAGTCTAGCGTGCAAAAGACCTCGACGGAATTATTGAACATTAGTGAAGACGCACATGCCGGGCCGATAAACGTTTTTGAGTTCGATGGTCTGCAAATACTTGTACCCAGTACGTTTATCAGTGAATCATCGCAAAAGGCGGTAAGTGGCACGAGTCAACAGTCGATGGCAAGCAGTGAAAACGGTACGGGCAATGATGAAGAAGTGAAGAGCGTAAACATGAGAGCTGATGAAACTATGCCCGCAAGGGGAGAACTATCTGAGCAAGAGAGTAATGGATGCACTGAACAGTCGGCTTGGCAGGTAAGAACTGAAAAAAAAAAAATTAACTTGAATTTTTCTTTAAAAATATTTCTTCATTTCGAAATTATTTACTAAGTACGAATAAATTACATATTTAAATAATACTTTTCAGCTGTACATGGGTCAAGATGCTTCTCGCATGTCCACATCGTACGATCTCATGGCACGGGAAAGTTGGGAAGAATCTGAAGGTTCGGAGCACGAAGACAACAACAGTGGTCCTTTACTGGATAGCCGCTCTCTTGCCACTCATTTCACCTCGAGTCTGTTCCTTGACCGTGACCGTAAGACGCCGACTCGTCATATCTTCAAGTGTTCCCACTGTCCTGAGGTATTCGAGTGTCCTAAAGAACGGCGCGTGCATAGTACATTGGTGCACAAAGAGGCTGGGCCATCAAGCTGCAGCAATGATAATATGGATCAGTCTGAACTCAAAGAAATAAAGCTCCTTGAAGGTCGTGCCAACGTCTTTGAGGATATCTTTGTACCCAGTGGTCTTCACATAGCACAGCAAGCGTATCAAATGCACCATCAGCAGCATTCGCCCTTACTTCACCAATTACAGCCTCCTCAGCAGCGTCCAAGTTGTACCAAGACTGAATCAGACTCCAAAATTGCGGACCCCCTTCATTTGTCTACAGTATCCGAAGTCACGTGCAATATGTGTAATCAACGTTTTAGCAGTGAAAAGTCGTTACAAGTTCATCATAGACGCGTGCATATTGCAGATACAGTGAAACGCATACGCGAAAGTGCCAAGTGTCAGATTTGTAACGAAGAATTCAATTCGGTCGCAAACTTCAATCTCCACCTTAAGATTCATCCTCTTGAGTGCGGCCAGTGTGGCAAGTACTTTTATCGCAAACAAAACTTCAAACTTCATATGAAACGTCACTTGGGTATCAAACCATTCCCATGTAATCACTGTGATAAAGCCTTCCTTACGAAACAAAAACTTGACGAACATACGAATGGTCATACTGGCAACGCCCCCGTCAAGTGCAACCTTTGCAATGAAACCTTCCGGCGCTACTCGAATCTCACGCAGCATAAGAATCGTCATCATCTAAATATCAAAAAGAAGCTGAAGGACTATATTTGCCACTGTGGTGAAGTTTTCCATACGAAAAAGAAGCTAGCCTGGCACAAAGAGACACACGACGAGAAGCCCAAGGCCTGCACCTACTGCAATGAGCGCTTCATTCACATGGCCAGTCTCACCCGGCACATGCGACGTGCTCATAATCGGCGCTTCGTGCCCGATGCGCAGCGCGAGAACGAAAACGTCGAGTGTCCCATATGTAAGTGCATCTACCTGCGTTCCTCGCTAGCCGTGCACATGCGCGTGCACAATGGAGAGCGACCCTACGAGTGCCAGGTTTGCTCGAAAGCCTTCAGCACCAAGTGGAACCTACAGTTGCACAAATGGACTCACGCTGCTCGCAGCACCAAGCCCTTCAAATGCAACCAGTGCAGTGCCGCATTTTACCGGCACAGTGATTACACCGCTCACATGAACTCTCACCGTAACGTAAGACCCTACACCTGCAACTACTGTGGTGCACAGTTTATCAGGAAATACAACTGTTTGCGACATGTCAAGGAGCACGAGGAGAACAAGCAGTATACCTGCGAAATTTGCAGCAAAACCTTCCACAGGTCGTACTATCTGAAAGAGCATCTACGAGTGCACTCTGGGCAGAGACCCTATACTTGTCACATCTGCGGCAAGTCTAGCAGCACAAAGTCTAACCATAATAAGCACGTCAGGATTCATCACGCTCGCGAGCCTGTAAATACTGAGAATTAAGGATGATGATCGTTTTGTTTATTAACTACATTTGGAGAATCTTATCGTAAAATAAATTTTTGTCAAAACACTCATCGTTTGCAACTGCGTAAATTACGTCGAGTCAAACTGATAGGTTTGAATCTTAAAAAGCTCATCCAATTATTATTGATGGAAGAACTTGACTCCTCGTGCGCAGCACTAATAATAATATTCAATTATTCAAAAACTGCCCTGTTTATCAAATTAAGTAAAATTTCGTAACGATGAGTATCTAATTATATCAAAGAGGAAACGTATTTGCATTTTTTAAACTGCAATGAAATCTTGAAGAAGTAAGTATCGCAAAGTTAAAACACTCTTACAATCCATTAAAAATTTCAAGTAACTATAAGAAATTAACACTTTTATAAGTAAAAATTTTAATGGACTGTTAGATTGAATTTTTAATCATTAGTTTGATAGAACTTGCAACAACATTGTTTGTGGCAAAAAAGTGCAAATATAGTAGGAAAGTTAAATGTAAGATTCAATAAATTATCTACTTCAATGGTAGATAACCTGATAAAAACGTAATCTATAACAATTATTTGATTTCTCAAACAAATGTTAATTTATAGATTGCATAAAAAAAACACTTGCCACGGTTTAAAAAATGGTATACATGTTTTACGTGTTGTTATTCCAGGGAGCCAGAACTTTGGTCGCTGTAAGCATGTGAAGGAAACTTTCTCAAGTTTTATAGCATAGTGATATTTCAATATGAAAAAAAACGTAGTTCCTGTTTTATTAAGTGATGATTTTTACATAATGAATAATTTATACTCTTTGTCACAATGAAAACACTCATTTCAATATTTTTTGTACACAACAAAAATTGATGCCTCAAATAATTATGCTTTCCTCTCATGCTTACTACAAGGTACCAAAGCTTTCTGTAAAGATAAGTAAAAAAATATTAGAATGAATAAAATGGTAATTAAATTGAGCTGTGGCACTCAGTGCACAAAAAAGTGTAAAATCTCGTGTATGCGTATGCGCGATAAAATATGTGTTTGGACTGATGATAGATAAAATAAGAAAAACAAAATCAAAACCTTTGCATTAGCTGCTTTTTTACTTCATTTAGGCACGACACAAAGGTACAACTATAGATTGAATTCTAATCTGAAATTATCCTCATATTAGAAATTGTACAAAAGCTCTACACCATGTACTTTTATGTCCAAAAAGTAAATTTTCCACGTATAAAGTATCTACTTCTAATCTTTGTTGGACTTATTTGCGAATGGACGTATGACAACAAGCGACATTATTTCCTTTATTTTGTTCGCAACATTTTTTGCATATACAAATAAATGCAATAAAATGGACATTTGCCAATTGATATTAATAAAAGAAATGGTTCACTATCTAATAAAGTTAAGGAAACAAAATATTCTGTATGAGCTTAAAGTGAGAAAGGTTTTTTGATAAATGAAAGTTATAGCTAAGTTTTTTTACAGCGTTTATAGCCTGTTGTGTGAAAGGAAAACCGAAAATTTTGCCACATTAATGGTAAGTTTTGAAATAAATTATTCAATAATTGAATAGAGTGACAAAAATCATGTTGCAATGTTATTTGTACAAAGGTCTGTATTTATCGTTAAGCAATGTGAGACTTATACGCATGGGCCTACAAAAAAATAAAAAATTTGCTGCTGTTAGCGTTACCACGTCTCCAACTTAGTTAATGTTATTATTTTATACATATATATATATATTTACTGCAATCCTGTGTTCGGTGATTTTTAAAAGATAATTCCAATGTCAAGACTGATCGATGTTGGCTTTCATCGCGATTTTTTCTTCTCTTTAATTTAGCTTATTAATTAAAAAACGTAGCTTACGCCGTGTGAAAAGCTTCATTGCGTTGTATATTACTTCTATTGATATTTAATTGTTACGGTATTAATATGTTGTCTCAGTCATACAGAACGAAAACGGACAAAAGTCTGGTGGTAAAGACAAGTAGTCTTCAAATACTTTTTAAAAGAAGTTGGAAGTTTTACTTTTTTTTAATAAAAGTTATAAATCAATTTGTTTATTTTGTCAAGCAAAAAGCTAATAGTGATAATTACTATTGATGTTTACATTATTATTATTATTAGTTTGGTTAATTAATATAAATATTATATTTACGTTAAGGGCATTCAAAGCATAAAAAAATTGTTTCAGCAAGAAAGTTATAGCTCACAATGAAACCAACATCGAAGTCCAAACGTGCAATTTTTCATTTAATTAAGTAAAAAATTGATGCATAAGTGTGTTTGATAGGAAATACAATGCTTGTAAATAATTGTAAATATGTATATCGTCTCTATTTTATAATAGGGTCGACAAATGAAGTCGGCAAATGAAATGTCGTAAGAAACTTAATTTGAGAATAAAAAAATTTAAAAAAAACTAAAAATCTGACACTTGAATGTAAAATGCAAAGTGGCTGATAAAATAGAATAATTATTACGATTACCATTACGAAAAAATAAAACACAACTAAGCAACATATGTATATCTCAATAAAAATCATGTGTTGAAGTACTTTTTTAAAAGAGAGTTCTTATTTTAACCTTTTCCTACATTGTGGACAAACCTAAATAGTGTTAAGTTTCTTGCGTAACAACAAATTATTAGTGATAATAATAAAAAAATTACTTAACATCTTAACGAAAAATGTGTTTTTATTCCATTAATCATAAATTTTCCTCTAGAAAATTTTCGCAGTGTCCTCAATGGAGGAATCATATAAAGTATTTCCTAAAATCTATAGATTACATGGCTTATATTGCTTGATGTATTAACACTAATAAAATTGGTCTTATTTATCAAACGCAGTTGATGAACTAAAAATTCATTATTTCATAAAAATATAACTGATCAATTTTATAACTACGTTGATACCTAACAAACGCACGTTTACCCATTGTTTCTTAGTACTTAAAAATTAACAAAGATCGGTATAAAAATTTATGATTATAAAAAATGCATGGAAACAAATCCTCATATCCTTTTGACAATCTTCCTAAGCATATGTATACTCGAGTGATATATTATACTTCTCCTGGACCCAATTGATAACAGCTCTCTTAAGATAGTGTTTCAAAACAGAATTCAGGATAGATACTGTGTTATTTTATACGAGCGTTCTTTAGTTTTTTATGATAGAACCTAGCAACAATACATTTATTAACGCGATTTCGCATTCGCCATAACATAACGTTGATTAAATGTTTTTATTATTAATTCTAGGGGTTTATGCGTGCACCAGTTGCATCTTTTATTAACTGAACAATTTAATTGAAAAGTGTAAGCTTTTTTAAAAAATATACACTGCAGTCATATCTAAGATTTCTATAGTTAAGTATTATATTTACTTTAGCGGTAAAGTTAATGAAATATTTTTACAGTATTTGGAAAACCTTCAATTGTGCTAAACGTTGTATAAGTGTTTTGTACGGTTTTTAATTATAAAAAATTTATAATTGTAAATAAATAGCTAAATTTGTGAAAAAGATTAGGATTCTGTGTGTAAGGCACAACTGATATATTTATCATTGGAGCAGAGTGTAACAAAATAAAGTACGTAATGTACTGTACGAAAGTTGTAATTTTTTATATTTTAATTTAATTGATAAACATCACATCACATAAGCTGAAGAATTATCAGGATTTACAGAACTCGCTTTTATGAAAATAGAATCTCCCAACATTATATAGTAACATTGTTTTACATCACATTAAGTATCTTGTAACAACATACTTGAAAGGTTTCTTACTTATTTATTTTTCATAGTAAGTTGATTCATACATAAAAATAAAAAATATAGTTTACAAAATAGTAAACAATTACATTTAAAAAGTTCCTATGAGATAATTGTGCATTGGCTGTGGAACAATGCAACTATATGTAATTCTTATTACATTACTTATGGCTTGTGTTATTATAAACTAAGATTACGTGTCCAAGGTTCTCACACAGTATGTGTACACTTCTGCCATGCTTAAAGTATAAAATGTGTTTGAAGTACATTAATTTCTAACGGTTTAAAAAAAGACAAAAACCTTGTATTTCGACAACTTATCCCCGTTACTTAACTTTGAAAAAATTTAGCTTTTTAAAAATGATACTATTAAAAACCATCTCAACTTAGAAAAAACTTAATTACTCTTTACTATCGTCGTTGTAGCTAAGAACCTTGTCTGTAAATTCATCATCCTGAGGCAGTTTAGTCTTCATTTGTTCCTGTGAATTCTGTTTTTTGAACTTTTTCACGTCAAGTGGAACTTCGTTTGCATTGTCATGTTTTTTTCTATGGCTCATCATTGTTGATCGGGAAACAAACGATTTTCCACATAGATCACACTCGTAAGGTCGTTCTCCTGTATGTAATCGTTTATGTATTGCCATAGGACTGAATTGTGTGAAGGTTTTACCACATATTTCACAGCGGTAAGGTCGTTCTCCGGTATGAGATCGTTTGTGGCATCGTAGGGCCGAGCGACGCGCAAAGTCTTTCGAGCAAATATCGCATTTAAAATTTTTCTCGCCTGTGTGCATCGTCATATGGATCTTTAAATCCATCTTTGTGAGAAAACCTTTACCACAACACTAGAAACAAAATAATACGTTCGTTAATCTTCAAAATATTGAGATGTAATAGTTCAGCTTTATAAGGCTCATGCTTACCTCGCAGAGATATGGTTTGTCACCTGTGTGTATGAGCGCATGTGTTGCCAGGTAACTTTTACTCACAAAATATCTGTTGCAAATATGACACGGATATTGTCGATTGTCAAGACCCGAATGTATTTTCTCGTGACTCTTACACAGACCTTTTGTAATAAAACTTCTCCCGCATATCTCGCATGTGTACGGTTTAACGCCCGCATGCCGATTTTCGTGATCTAACAGTGACTGCTTGGTTTTAAAGTTTTGACTGCAGGTAGTACAGGAATATGGCTTGGCGTCTGAATGCACTCGTTGATGAACGATCAGGTAACTTTTACACTGAAATCCTTTGCCACAAGTAGAGCAGCTATACGCAAACTGACCTGTGTGAGTGGCTGTGTGCTGAGCCAAGCCGATCTTGCTCCTAAATGATTTGTTGCAATGTGTGCAATGGAACGGCTTCTCGCCAGTGTGCTTTCGCATGTGTTCCTGCAATTATTAAAAGTTTAATATCCATCGTTCGTTTATAGGCAATGTATTCGATAAAATGTTACCTGCAGTTTGTAATTCGTCCTGTACTGTTTACCACATATCGAGCAGACTTTTGGAGTCCCTTTAGGTTGCGAATGTTCTGTAACTTTCTTCTCTACATTTTTCGAATTTTCGACATCTGCGTTGTTTTGTAGATCAAGACAGCTCTGAATATGGAGATTCAATGCGTCCACGCTCGTGAAATATAATTCGCACTTGGGACAGCAACAAAAGTGTTTCACGAAATGTTCAGTCAAATACTTTGCTTCTGCCGCTACTTCATTGCAAAACGGACAGACGTACCAAGTGTTGCTGGCCTGATCAACTGATGGATTATTAATCACGCTCGCAATGAGATCGTCTTTGGCGCTTTTAGTGTATTGAACAAGTGGATCATCGATTTTGTCATCCTGGCTCACTGACGGTATTTCAAACGAGGGCACCAAGCCATTATTAATTGAAGCTTCATTGCAAATATTATCCTGCTCATTGTTCTCTCTGGATTGATGCTTGCCAATATTCTCTGGGATGTTTTTTTCTTTCAAATTAATTTCTATGTCCCTGCAGTTATCTGTGATTTGTTCATCATTTGTTTGGGACGAGTTAGAGGCTAATGACGTTACGAAACTATTAATGTCTATTGGGTCCAAGTGACTGTTCACTAAGTTTATCGAAATGTTGTTATCCAGATGCATTGTAATATCCTGGTTCGTCACTTTGAGCTTGAATTTTTTTCATGTCATGAAAAATAAAATATATTTATACATGAAATATTAATTGTTTCAAAATTAAGAAAATTTGCTTATTTGTTATATAATTTACGGGAACTGAATTTTTCTAAAAACTGAATTACGAACGGCATTATTGTTTTATTTATTAGTTAAAAAATGTTATTTATTAAAAAAATTTTTTTTAAGTCTCATTGAAATTTCCCTCAGCGATCTAGCGAGTCTCAGACTCAGCTAGAGCGGCCAAGTTTGTCGTCACAGATAATTTGCGAGCAAGGATAAACCATCATTGGGAAATTTTCACAAATTAGACTTTTACTCAGTATCAGTGTTAAAGAAATATTTTACGTGTAATGGAAAATTGAATATTAATGTTAACTTTTATTTCTTTCGCATTACACGTTTGTACTTCATAACGCAATCGTACTGAAATTGGAAAAGTATCATGAAAAATTTTCGACTCTGGGGATTTGAACAAGGATTATTATTTTCCGAGTGTATCGAGCTTTGCCAACTGAGCTACCGTGACGCCGCACTTTCGGGGATCTTTAAATTCCTCATAAGCATATACTTTCCATGAAATAATATTTTTTGCCAAGCATACGAAATACTTGGTGAAATAAATTAAAAAATAATTTCAATTGCGTACCTGTCTCATGTGCTCATCAAACATTCTTGCAGTTTCCTTGTCTAATTGAAAAACATCCACCTCATTATCATCTCTGATGATTCCCGTCTGTATGACTTGTCGTCCATTAGTAGGTACAATACTATTTAACACAGGTATAGTAAGAATATCACTTTGAATATTTTGTTTTATGGCATTTGAATTTTGCAAAATTTGTCTATCCAAATTCCCTTGGATTTCAGTTATCAATATTTTATCCAAACAGTTTACACCTTTTGGCAAGGCTTTTATCATTTGAGTGAACAGGTTCTCAGTCTGTAATACTTTTTCATGAAAATCAAACAATTCATCTACTTTGAAGGCACACTCGCCACATATTATTTTTGGCAACTGATCAGTTGATGATACTTTAACTGGCAGACAAGTAGATATTTTTTTATTAAGACTCCTACTTTGTTCGTTCTCTTCGAAAATGGGCAAACCCATGAGAATATCTATTTTGGAGGCACAAAATCGGCACAGGTAATTTAATTTCAATTCTGTGACAGCAGTCATTGTAAATCTGAATTACTAATTTTCTAATAAAAACTTTTTCCAACAACTTTACAGCTTTTCTCTCTGTACATGAAATACTTATGCTGATTTTCTTGAAATATCTTGCTAAAATATAATAGAAACTTTAGAAAAAATTATAAAAATCGTGTAATAATCATGAAATTCTCTTTAAAATTTTTGAAAGTATTAAAAATGATTACAAGAAGACAAATTATTTATGCGTTTATGATCAAAGATTTTTTAGAAATAAAAATACTATGATTATAAACCTTATCAAGTAAATAAATTGTTTTGTAACATAAAGCAAAATATATATTTACATGTAGTGTCATTCTGTTAATAATCTCATTTGTTCTTCCTAAAATTATGATTGAAGCATTAATATCTAAGTAGTTCTTCAAGTTTGCGAAGAAAAGTAGATTCGGCAATTCAGCATTGATAAAACAGGTTATTTCCATATTATTTCATGAGTAAACACTGCAACACTTTTCCATATGACTTTGTTTTTCTGACTACATAAAATAGTGGGTATATTTTTCTTGAAACTATTCACGGATAAACCTATACTGTTTTTCATCCTTTTGCATTCAATTGAATCATTTAAAATGTTCCAACGTTTGACCAACTTTCGTGTCTTACATTTTTAAGGTTAAGAGAAATATAAAAAAATATACTGCAGTCTGCATCTGCAGCCGTCAGAGTATACTATACACATACCTATACATCTCATATCTCATATGTAATGAGTGTAATACACACGTCCCTTTCACGATTATTCAGGCGGGACGTTTTTTGCAACAATTTAGTTAAAAAATCAACTTTTTGATGTAAGTACACCAATATTTATACTAAACTGTTTGTGAAGTTATGGTGAAAAAGTAAAAAATATGTCTTAAAATAACCCTTTTGGCGCCAACACCTACTTTGCAAAGAACTGAGTGAATGAATAGAAAAATACCTTAATTATTATTCATGTATAATTCATGTTTGAAACTTGAAGTCTTTTACCGACAGAGTCCATGCATAAAAAAGTGCGCAGTGCGCACTGCGTACACGCATTTTCAAAATATTCATATATATATAGCCATGGAAGGAGGAACATGGGAGTAGAAGAGACACAAACAACTTATTGATATGATGGCTAAAAAAGTGCACAACTTAAAAAGACATCATTCAGAGGTTGAATCGAGCGACGATGATGAACGTAAGTTTTAATGTACAACCATTAAATTTTATTTTATATTTTAAGTCATATTTTTGCATAGTATCATGTCTATTATAAAGTAAAAAATTATTTTATGATAGGTGTTATAGGTTAGAATCTTGCTTATTTTTTTATTTTACGACTGTTTATGTTGAGATTGATTAAAGTAATGTATTATTTTCAGCTACTATTAGAGCACCAAAAAAATTTATCGCTCCAAGGTTGTGTCCGTATTTAGATACAATCAACAGACAATTCTTAGATTTTGATTTTGAAAAACTGTGCTCCGTTTCACTTTCAAGAATCAATGTTTATGCTTGCCTAGTTTGTGGTAAATATTTCCAAGGCCGAGGCAATAATACACACGCCTATACACATAGTGTAGGAGAAAGTCATCATGTGTTTTTAAATCTTCACACTTTGAAGTTTTATTGTTTGCCTGATAATTATGAAATAATTGGTATGCATACGAATTACGTTTTCAATCAGTTCTTCAGCTAAAAGCTGTTATATGTATTATTTCAGATTCATCTTTAAATGACATAAAGTATGTGTTGAATCCTACTTTTGATAAGGAGCAAATTAAACAGTTAAACAAGAATACCAAGCTATCCAGAGCCATTGATGGCTCCATGTATTCTCCAGGAATTGTTGGAATGAATAATATTAAAGCAAATGACTATTGCAATGTAGTTTTGCAGGTAATATAACTGCATTTTGATACTTTTTTTGTATTATATCCTACCTAATCGAATATATCACTACAGGCATTATCACATGTGACACCACTTCGTGACTTTTTTTTGAGAGAATCAAATTATGCTAAAGTTAAAAGACCACCAGGAGACTCATCATATCTTCTTGTGCAAAGGTTTGGGGAGTTAATGAGAAAATTATGGAATCCACGTAATTTTAAAGCACATGTAAGCCCTCATGAAATGTTACAGGCAGTTGTTTTGTGGAGCAAGAAAAAATTTCAGTTTACGGAGCAAGGTAAAAATACAATGGTTTCTGACTAAGCAACATGAATTGAAGATAGTCAAAGTTTTTATGAATTCTAGGTGACCCTGTGGATTTCCTTTCTTGGTTCTTAAATGCTCTTCACATAGCTTTAAATGGTACTAAAAAGAAAGACTCTAGTATAATATACAAAACCTTTCTGGGTCATATGCGAATTTACACTCACAAAATTCCACCTCTTGAACTGGAGGAAAGTCAGAGGAATGAACTTTCAAATACTATAGAATATGCTGAAACAGTGACCGAAAGTCCATTTTTATACTTGACATGTGATTTGCCTCCACCTCCTCTGTTTAAAGATGAAAACTCAAAAAATATCATTCCTCAGGTAATGTCAGTGTCATAATTAGTGGTATATTTTTTTTTTAAGTTCAATTATTTGTGACACACATAATGGTGATTTTAATGCTTCAGGTTAATTTGTATACTCTTTTAAGTAAATTTAACGGGGTGTCTGAAAAAGAGTACAAGACTTACAAGGAGAATTTCATGAAAAGATTCGAAATCAGAGAATTACCACCTTATCTGATACTTTACATCAAGGTGACCAGATTTTAAAATAATGTACATATTTTTTTATGTGAAATATTTATTTAAAAGTGTGTTTCCAGAGATTCACAAAAAATACATTTTTTGTTGAAAAAAATCCAACCATCGTTAACTTCCCTATAAAGTCAGTATTCATAAATATTTTGATTGTTTTGAACGAATTTGGAAAACTGGTATCTCATAAGTACATTTGTTTTAGAAATGTTGATTTTGGAGACATATTGACACCTGAAGTCAAAGCTAAGCATCCATTTACGACCTATGATCTGGTCGCAAACATTGTGCACGACGGCGAACCTAGTCACGGAACATACAGAGTTCACATTTTGCACAAGGCATCCGGCCAATGGTATGAACTACAGGATCTGCATGTGACTCCAATTTTGCCTCAAATGATCACGCTTACGGAAGCGTACATTCAGATCTACGAACTGAGAACAGACCTGCCAAACACGGAGTACGGCAGAACCGTACTAACGAACGTGTGAAACTTGATGTATGCTCTGTATTTTTTACAGTTCAATGAATTATAAATGAACAATTATAGATTCTATGTCTAGAATCTTCACTAATCATTTCAATTTATTTGTCTTTCGATCAGAACGAAGTCCATCAATCATAGAAATGGTATTAAATAAATTACAAATGATAAACTTTTAATCTTTTGACTCTCTGCAATATATTTTCAAATCAGCGGTTTGCGCAAGCGCATTTTTTAGAGACGACAACGCCCTCAAGCGTCGAAACGAAGAAGCGAAATTCGCGCGAGAACGGAGCGAGCGACCACTGAACGCTGAACTCCGATTCAGCTCCGAATTTAGTCAGTTCGCGTTGCTCCGTTCGTATGGTTGTTGTACCATAAGTTACGTGCTCGAAAAAAAATTCCGCATGAAGCTAAAAAAAAAAAACAAAACCTTAACGTTCCTAGTAGTTGCACAGTGTAAAGTTGAAATACTAGAAATAGTGAATGCGTTGTTAAAATCAACCGGAGACGCATTATTGGTAGTTTTTCGTCAAGTTATCGGTAAGGAGCGTTCGGAAGGATAAATAAACCGTGTCGAAGTGGTGATATTTGGTTGCTGCGCATCCTCAATTCTTAAATATTGCATGTAATCAGTTAAACCGAGTTTATTTAGTGCGAATGTAGCATGTGACACGCTAAAAAAGTGTGTATCTGTGAAGCGGGCGAAAGTGCATAACATCCGGCTGCAGCAACAGGAGAATTTTTCAAGAATATATAGCTTCGTACCCACACACACATACGTATGCGCGTGCACGAGCCAACGTATTCCTTGTAGGACATACGAACGACGAAGTCAGGTGTCCAACAGCAGTTCAAGTCCCTCTTCTCAGTTTCGGAGCATAAAATATAAGAAAGGGCCCCCTCGTTCTTTTACATTGCACATCAGGTAACAGCAGACGCTAAGTATATATAGTCCTTTTCTTTCCAAACTCCTTAGCAGTACTCCAGAACGTATAGGTATAAGTGGCCAGAGAAAGGAAGGACAAATACCTGCGACAGTATATTACAGATGCAGATCCTTAGCTTTTTTTGAAGGTCGCAGACATCTTCTACTCGTCATTTTTCTTTTTCTTTTTTTTTTTAATCCCAATATTTGTTCAACGCGTTCGAGTTTCAAGTGTGCAATATATCTTATGACGTTTATATGTCGGATCGGTATGACATCGTCTGGCTTCAATGCACCTGCAATTTTTTTTCAAAAATAGTTGTCTCACGAACCATATGATCGGTTTAGCCAAATTTTTTTTCTCAATGAATTGAGTTCCTACGATAACTTGTCTGGATTGTGTGATCGTTGCTTATACGGTGGAAAGAACAATTTCGAAATTTTTTAAAACCGGATGGGAAGACCAATCGTAAAAATTTAATGTGGCTGTTTACAGGCAGAGTATGCAGTAAGGGATGAGTGTAGGGGGGAAATAGAGCGGGCGTGCGTGTCTGCGTGATAATATTGTATATGGTGCATGAACGAGGGGATGGAAGTTTTACACGTTTAACGGAATTTTACCATCTTTTATCAACTTGCGCGCCATTGTTGTGTGTGATTTTGAAAAATCGGTTCTATTTTATCATGATTTACTAATGTTTTGTTTGCAGTATAAAAGTACGATAATTTTCAGCGTCTGTAATTTAATGCATATTATCATAAAATAGGTATAATGTCCGCAAATGCCGCAAGATTTGTCTAACCAAGCGTGAAGTGGCAATGATAATCTGAGGTTCTCTTGCATATTATAATGATAACAAACTTCGTTTGATGTGTTTAAAAAGAAACTTTAATACCATTTCGAAATCGTTTTATTTCGATTTTAATAATAATGCCATTGACACACAATTCAAATCTACTTAATATCTTATTTCGAATGATCAACTCTATATTATATAGCCATCGGATTAGCGCATAATATACTGTGTGCGTGTGCAATACCTCTCTTATACCGTAAATGAAAACAAGCACTTGACGTTTTAAAAGATCATCAACTATTTCGCTATACCTACAGACAATATTGTTGTAAAAGGACAGGAATCCGAAAGCGAGTCTAAGATTGCATGATGAATTTCCCGCGAAGTCTTAGACTAGTATCAGGTTTTTTTTTTCAAGCTCATTGCACTCTTGCAGGTTTTTAATTAGGAGACTGTTGTGTGTAAAAGTTCGCAAGAGTGTGTGTAGTTGGAAGCTACCCATGATTAAATATGTGTGGGGTCGACCGCTATTATTTGTTTATTTTATTATTATTATTTTTTTTTTCGAAAAACCTACACCGGAAAAGAATAGTTAACTTGATGTAATAATTGATTTTTTCATTACCTACATTGCATGTGATTGAGGTGGAATGGAACTTTTATATCGATTCGTGTACACGATAATGAAAAAATTTCCATACTCTTTATCAAAAAGTCTTGATAATTTTATGAATAAGTTAGTTTTACTGAGAGTCTTCAACAGTTTCAAATTTATATCCTATATACTTTTGTTAAATTTTACAGAAGCATTTCTTGCTCGTTAAAGATAAACGCAGTTTTTCGTAAGTTAAGTTCATCTCCGATTGATACTCTCTGATACTAACGTAAAAAATTGCCCAATCTTTAGGAACAATTATTCAACTTACATTGCGTGTCCAGTATTATGATGTTTTTTTTTTTTTTTTTTTAATTTTTCAATATAAGTACACAACTTCAGTTTGCGCATAAAATCTAAATTGCATTCTTTATCGCAACACCGTGACTTGCTGTACACCTATCGAGGCAGCTTTCTCATTTTATTATTGGGATTGCAGGCAGCTTGCCTCACAAGAGAGAAGGATTATATTGCTCCTCCGCCTGAACTGCACTTTCTTCGATTCTTATTGCCGTATTACGTGCGTCTATAAGTACTTATCTTGATTTCAATTGAAACACACTCACATATGTATACTGGAGGAGATAATTGCTTTAAAAAGTTTTACCATCGGCAAAGCAATCCTACCAAGTATATGCTTTTTTAAGATATATGTTTTTGCGCAACACTTACCTTTATTCATTATTTCTTTTTAAATTATTTGTATTGACATTTGTTTAACATTAATTTTCGCACTTTGAATTGTAAAAAGTTCTTAGTTATGAATGCATAATTGATTGATTAAAACAAAATATAAAATAAATTTATTTTTCTGCTTTTTAATGCGATACGTAAAGAAGATTGATAGACCGACTGGTCGATGAAAACTGTAAACCTTGAAAACTCTTAACTTTAATGAGGAGGTGTATTATTGTTCTGGCACATACACAATGTATTTTGAAGTTTATTTATTTATTTGTCATTATTTTTTTTTTTTCAACTAATAGTATGTAAATTTTTTTTCCCTACTTTGATATGTTCTCGTCCCAGAAATCCAATTATAGATTATAAATTTTCCACTATCTAACAAGGCAGAATAAAAGTTAGAAAGAGTAATTATGACCAAAAAATCCAGTCCTACATACTGCACAGAAAATCATTTATGCGTGTACTGCACCGCGTCGTTATGATTCAAGGCACTCTTTTGCTCTTACGGTGCCACTGTAGAGCCCCATGAAAATCCCTCGAGTGTTTCCACCTACCAAGTACATCCTCCCGCGAAAAACCCATTGAAAAAAATACACGTGCAATTCTCGTCAAGCCGTGCTCGCAATTATGAACGCGAGCGTCGCCTACCCTAACTTTTTTTCCCTTTTCTTCCTAACTTGGAGGTATTACTGCACCCATGAACTCCACTACGGGATGAAAGAACGAAAAAGAAAAAAAATTGCGCGTGTGCTGAGCCTCTGTTCTTGCTCGCGAGAACCGGTCGCCTCCCTTTCTTTCGCTCTTGCATAGCGTATGTGTATGCCCCGAGATCCACGCATACCTACGTGGATTTCCTTTTACTATAAGTATACACACTGCATGCAGTATGCCTATGGTGTGTTGCGTCGCTTATGTCGACGACGATTCGTTTTTATTTCACGGGATTCCAGTCGCTCTGGAGAGTCTAGCTGCCAAGTTTACGAAATATTAAACATAAAATAACAACAACAAAAAGCTGCCAACGCGCGGTTGATGACTATTTTAGGCCCCACAGTTTGGCGGACACAGTCTAGTAAGTATAACCTACGCGCCTTCCTTCCGTTTTAACTATTTATTTGCAGAGTCGAGAGAGAGAGGGTCTAGTGCGAGCAATGACACTTGCACTTGCTCTATCTTTGTGTGCATTCATTTTGGAAAAGGCTGCGCTGTACTTGCGCGCGACTACGTTGGCGGATTTTAAAATTAACATCAATTTTACAGAGCCAATAAAAAAATGGCACTTTTTTGATATTTTTCCAAAGTTTTTGTAATTTATACAAAACAAAAACTTGACACAGTTGCTTTCTATTGTTTGTTTTGCGATTCGATTTGTCAAAAGTTAAAAAAAAAACATAGACACGAGTTATTTATCAGTAAATATATTGGAAATGAAGAATCTGGATCAAAAAGCACACGCGAATTTTCTTATCAGAGCGAGTCTTGCGACAAGAGAGCCATTTGATATTGGGTAACCCTGTAATAGAAATGTTCCTCGGTGACAAGTCCCTTTTCGTGCCAGCGTCCAACTTTCTCTCCTCTCCATTATACCTTTTTTTGTTCCCAAACACGATTTCGATTCCACTCGTCTGCGTAGAATCCCCGAGGTCTGCGTCAGCGCTAGTCGAGGTATGCATATAATAAGAGAAGGCGGCTACTCTTTACTCTGGTACGCAGAGAGAGAAATCGAAGAGTACGGGGAAGGGGAAGAAGAAGAGAGTTTTGGGCGTGGATACGACGTCGCCGGTGAAACGGGGCACCGAAAACACGTTTCCGGAGTCTTGAAATTCTTTTCTCTGCGTGGACCGGCGGTGCCCCGTACACGGGGAATCATATTATACAGTAATCGATCGATTCGGAAGGCTATCTCAATCGCCACGGCTTTGCGTACACGTGTATGAGTTTACGGACGATCAGGTACACGCACGCCCGAGTAGGTGTATACGACGAAGGGAAAGGGGATGGGTGACGAGAACGAATGAAAGAGCGA